GTTTCAGCCTTTTTTATCTTAAAGAAAGCCAGAAAACAAAAGGACTGAGAAATCAAATATGATAAGAATAATATTTTGAAAAGAAAAATCCAATCTTCGTTTCGATCATTACATAAATTTATATAAAATACATTATTTTAAGCCGATACATTATCTAGCCAGTAATTTTTCAAACTTGTTCTCAGCTGGCAAAAAAAAACAAAAAAAACAAATAAGAGTTGACGATACTTTTCCAAGTTACTAACAAGGAAGACTTGAAAAGTAAAAAATAAAAATGGTGTTTAAAAATGCAACCAGACAGAAAATAAAATAGAAATGTATACATAGTTCAAAAGTTTTGCAAATGTCTGTACTTCAGAGGGTCCATTAAAGATGTTTAAATTTGCGCGGATAATGTTAATGGAACCGAATATAAGATCTGAAGAGGTTGGAGGCACACTTTTATCTCAAATCACTTTTTTTCTACTCTAGTGCGGTAAACAATCTTAGGTATTCTGACCAGTTATGCAAAATATATTTGATGGCAACAAGTTTGTAAAGAAATATAAAACATGTCTCTGTGTAAGTCTATAAATCGATAACATCTTCTATTTCCATTGATTTTCTTTTTTTTATCTACCGATATGTGTAGTTCACTTTCCAACTATAAACTAATGTGTAAATCCTTCAATCGCTAATCATTTCATTTTGTCTAGACATCTGTATGCACACATAGCTACTTACATATATCTAGCAACACGATCGATTCACTCGTTTTAAATAATGAAATTGTTCTCTTCCCCGTATCAGGAGAAAAATATTCAAATACATTTCGAAGATAAAAAGCTGTCAGTGCTTGGTCCGACGTACAAGCTGGGATAATGAAAGTGTAATTTCAAGACAGCACCTCAGAAAAATGATATCCTGTTCTCATAGTTTTCGATACAAAATTATCTTGTCCCAAAGCTGAGATATGTAATGCTGAAAACTATGTAGCATCCTGTTTAATTATTACTACAGTTGATTGTAACCACTTATATAATGTAGACGCCAATATGTTAATGAGAAATATATGCAAAAGAAAATTAGCAAGCGTGATACTGCCTAGTCCATATAGATCGTAAAGATGCGACATGTCCTGCAACCAGATCAGCAGTTCTGTCTTGGACAAGATAACTTCACAAAATGATTGATTGACTTATTTCTAACTTTTTATAAACCATTTTGGGTTATTTAAAACCGAAATATATGACCTGTCAGATTGATTATTTCTTTTTGCGATTGAATATTGTATTAACAATTTTATTTAGAATAAGAATTAGTTTTTCATTTACAAGCTTTACTCTGTAACACAGAGCTGTCGCGAGCTGATAGATTCATGCTTTTCCTTAGGTTATTTGCTCGTAAATGAATGCAATGTACACGAGGGTGATTTAAATGCATCTCTCCGTTTTTTCATACCGCGACTTTATCTAATATACCAACTGCACACCCTTAGCCTCCAGGAAACCATCTTTCTTTTGGTTGGTTTCAGAATTTTTGTCTCTAATACAGGTTGGTGCCTAAAGGCATAAGAGTTCTGTCTGCCCTGCTATTTACTTCATAGTTGAAGTTTTGTGATGTCAACGAACACTCTTTGACACTTTTGTCATGGCAACGAATAGTCGTTGTTACTTTCGTAATGCTCATTGTAGTAGAGACTTTGTAATCGCAGATACAACTATAGTAACGCCGTTGAACAATATTGGTGTCAGACGCCTTCGAATAACACTCGCACTAATAGTACTTGCTCGATAACACTCGCTCGAGTAGTAATTACTGCATAGTGATCAATATAGATAAATAGTATAGTGAATAAAGTAGAGAATAGCAGTCCGTATAGTAATAGACGATAGATTAGAAATAGTGATCCGAATAGTATAGAGGATAGACTAGAAATAGTGATCCGAATAGCATAGTGGACAGGCTAGAAATAGCAATCCGTAGAGTATAGAGGATAGACTAGTAATTACGATCCGTATAGTATAGAGGATAGGCTAGAAATAGAGATCAGAATAGTATCGAGTTTAGACTAGGAATTGGCGACCGTTAGTCGTCAGCTACTTCCTACATATATGCGTCTCCTCTATGGTCACGTGGTCTACTTATTTCAATAATGGGATCGCCTGCGTTGGATTACTGGCAATCTGTGTTCAAACTCAAATGTCGGCAGCGACACTTTATTCCCATATATGGAGTAAGATAAATGCGTTTATTTTCAAAGGGTATTAACTCGAAGACAACGAAACAGAATCGAGTGGGATTTGAACTTTACCCGACGAAGTCATTTGTCCGCGACAATAAATGTTGCATTATCCTCGCTTAGTAATCTTTTATGGGTCATGAAATGGCCAATTACGGTACTAAATCTTCCACATATAGTCCGGTGCTACTGTTATTTATCGAGATCTCCTTGATAAAATCCAAGGAAGTATCAGCAATATTATTGTTCCTGATCTGGTGTCTCATCTTCAGTCAGTTTCCCACCGCCGTAAATTTGCCTTCCCGTGATTCATCGGTATGGTACCTAGACGTCTGGAATGTAATAGCAGTACTAAACTGGGGACGAGGTCTTATCAATTGACAGTTTAGATGGCTAGATGTTAACGTAATTTCTCTGCTAACAGTTTTTTTTCTTGCACTTCTCGCTTGCAGAATTCATCCCCGGCTTCTTGCTTTCCAGCAAACATTAATTTTCAAATATTTAAATGCAATGTCAATCACTATTTACTGTCATCCTGTTTAAACTTCTTTTGTTTTCGCTCCTTAGTAATGTTTCTTTTTTCTAATTCTTCCACACCCAGTAACCCTCATGTGTCTTAGTGGCTTCATTGCTTTGCTTGCGTTGAATTCGATTGCAAAAACATAGGATCGTTCCTGGATTTGTTAGTTTTTCTATTGATTACGAATAGTAGAAAATAAAACTGGATATCTCTAGTTGTTAAGCCCGCTTTATTCCTTCAAAAGAAAGATGAAGAGAGAAACAGCGAATGATGAAATATGTTTTATTATTTTAAGTCGTTTGGGTTAATTAATAGACTATTCTCATTTTACAACGTTTATTTTTACGACCATTTCCATGTTGATAGAATTTATGTGATAGTAATGGATGTATATATAATTTATGTACTGGATGGTAGTTTTTGTCCTCAAATCACTCACCAATAGTGTAGTTTGCTCATATTACGGCCTAACACAGACGAAGCATGTTGTAAATTAATTAGCGATAAGAGTAAGAAAATATTGTATGTCTCATCATCATCAAGTCTGAACCGACTGTTCGGTTGTACTCTCTTCCTACGGACGGGAGGAACCCGAAGGAGGCTACGCCGAACGGCGGAGTCTCCTTCGGGTTCAATGGGCATTTTTTGGCCGAGCCCACGGGCTCGGAATGCCCACGTTAAAAAGGCCTTGTGCCACATGACACCCTCGTGGGGGGGTTGACTGAATATCGTATCATCATCTCATCTTGCGGCCTCAGCCGAAATTGAACTCACCAATACTTTGATTGGTGTAGTTCATAATCTTGTCAAATAGCTGAATTCTTGATGCTTCGTTAAGGCTATCAAGGGTGTTTTATTTATCGTGACACCAACACTAAATGGATTGCCAAACAAGGCTCAGAGAGACTCCATTCACCCTCCTCTAAGAGCAGGTTTGAACTCAGAGTTTTCCTTCTCCTAGACCAGTTGCCATCCAAGGCTATAGAACCCAGTCTGTCCTGCTATTTTACCCATAGCTGAAAGGAGACGAAGAGGATTCATACCTTTCCCAAGGGTATTAGCACGTAAGTGAATGTAATGGATTCGAATGGAATTCGAACTCGGCTCTCCGATTCCTCAATCCAAGCCGCTATCCATTACTCCACCGTGCCTCAATTGATATTGGGTCATTGATATCTCTTGTATGTCTAAAGAGATATCAATGACCCACAACTCGATATTCGTATACATCAAACGTCATCGGTATCACGGGGTGTGGGGAGCGTGCGAGACGTAACAGAATGCAACCCACAGAAACATCATTGTTTTGAGCAACATTGAAATGCAAATGACAAAACAAGAATAAATGAAGCAAATTTATATTGAGTCACAAGAAATTTCCGTTTTGAGAAACCATTTGCAAATACGAATGTATATCATTCCTACTAACCGTTCCTTAAATGTACCATAATACGTGATCAAAAATATCCAACATACAAGAAACAGGAACATTTCGTTTAAAACAAAGAAATGAGTGCTAAAGTATTCTGTAATATCAGTTCTTCTATATGGCAGTTAATACTGGACACTATATTCAAAGATGATGTAGGAACTGGAGGCAACAGAAAAGTGGCTCTACAAAAGATTGCTGTGAATACCATGGAATGAACATGTTAATGTTGAGGAAGTTTTTAGGACATTTGAAAGAAAAAGGACGCTTATACATAAAATCAGAAACAGTGCGTTGAAGACTTTAAGGCACATAATGAGGAAAGTTTTTTTTGAAAATTTTGACACCCACAGAACATATTGAAGATAAGACAGTCATATGAATAGCCTAACTAACAAACTTAAATAAGTGTTTCGCAGAATAAGGCCTAAGACGGATAGAAAAAAATTAAGATCTGCAAAAGACAGGAAGCCGTGTAGAGTCATGATCGTCCATGTCATGAATCGACTTTACACAAAGAAGGAAAAAGAAAGAAAAAACTTTAAAAAAAATGTAGATTTTGACGCATGTGGCTATATTTTAACAATCCTCTTTTTCTAAGCGAAGGTCTACACTTTCTGTAACATTGATTCATTAGGTTACTCAGCTCAAACATGATTAAATCTCTTCTTACAACGTTGTGTCCCAATATAATTCAATATTCTGTTGGACTGTCACCACACAACAAAAATTGTTGGGAGATTAAGTCCCGGTAAACACTCATGTGAAAAAGCTGTTAATACAATGATAAACTCTATCCAAAGATTTGGATTTTATCTCGAGTCGAAAACCTACCCGGGGGTAGCGAAACACAGCATAGAAGATAGATAGATAGGTAAAGGACGAAAAGAAGATAGATAGATAGATAGATAGATAGATAGATAGATAGATAGATAGGGATACACGGACAGAGAGATAAAGAAAATACTAATGACATTCAATTGTGTATTATTTCTTTTCATTTGTCGGCTCTTTTGTGAAATTTAATGTACGCTAGTATTAATCTTTTACGAAACAGCAAAGGTAAAATTGATCGAGTAGAAACGGTACTCTAAAAGTCTCCATCTATTTAAATCTAAAGAAAAAATAACAAACCATACGAATGATTTAAGTCGTATGCGTCCCGCATGGAAATAGTAGAAAAAAAAATGACTTGTTTTTTTTTTGAGACAGCGCTCGGCACGAGACGTGAAAACGTCAATAAAATCATTGCGCATGAATTGAGTTCATAAACCATAAAATCAAAAATTATTTAAACACATTAAATATTAGGCAAAAACAACAGATTTACATGATCGTTTCCTTTTTTCGTTTTTTGTTTGCGTGAATCTTTCCTGATTTTAGGGAAGTATAAACAGAAGACTAAGATAGCCCACAGAACAAAAGACATGCTCATCAACAGAATGCATAAAATTCAAGGACGGGACACTTATAGTGAAAGAAGAAATACTTCCGAGATTCCCATCGGCCTACTTTTCTACGACAAAAGAGGACAACCCACAATAAAAAGAAATATCGTAGCATCATAAATAATAACATCTGAAATGAAATCAGCACTGGCCATATTGAAGAGAAACTAAGCAACAGGACGAGATGAAATTTTAATAGTGCTTTAGATAATTTCGCCATTGATAAAACTGCTATGGTAAATGAAATTTATGACAAAGTTCAAATAGATGGAAGACCTAAATAGATGCATTTTCATAGCGCTAAGAAGCCACGCGTTAACGAATGTGATGCATATCGGACAGTCAGCCTAAGTAGCCGAATATTCTGATGAATAGAGCTGAGAGGAGGGTTCCATTGGAAAGAGGACAAAACCAGTGTGGCATCGTCAAATACGCGGGAAAAAATGTGATATTTATGCTCAGAATGATATTAGAAAGAGCGATACACATGCAAAAGTATGTACACATTTGTTTTATTGATTATGCAGATGCGATTAAAAAAAGTACGTCAAAAGAGACTGTTAGAATAATGCAGAACTTAACCTGCGAGAAAACCGCCTGTATGAGGAAGGGCTTAAGGCATGGATACACCTTCTCAACGGATTTATTCAGCCTATACAGAGAGGCGATTCTAAAAGTATTAACAATTTCTACCAGGATTCATTATTGGCGGCCATAACATTAGATATGAAAATGACACAATGCTGATAGCAGTCACCAAAAAGGAAACTGCAAGAATTCCTACAGAAGATAAGAAAGGAAAGTGGGAAGAGAAGACTAAACATCAATTGTAAGAAGACAAAATGTATGGATGTCAGCAAACAGAACAGTCCGATATGCAATTTATAAATTGCAGATACGAAGTTAAACATATCCCAAACATTATGTCTAGGAAGTATTTAGAGTAGGAGCCATACTCAGCTGGTCGATCAGAAAAAGCGTTCAATTAGAATGGAGCAGAAACATAGCATCATGTTTAGATGTAACAGAGTCTATATTCTATATTTCTGAGAGGAGGACACGTGGCACAGTGGATAAAGGCGTTAGTTAGATTCAGTGACAGTAACCAAAGAGTGTGAGTTCAATACCCGGTTAAGGCAGTGGAGAACATTCAGAGGGAAATTAGCAGGAGATAACTGATAACTGACATCCATTAAACATGGCACGTGGAACTAGAACTACCCCAGTGACCAAAATAAAGGGTTCAGTTCAACATTCCAACCACCTGAAGAAGGCCGGATCGTACAACGGCCGAAACGTTGTGATAAATATGGCGACAAAGATGAGGACAATAGTCCGGATAATGTAAATAAGAGTCTATATTCTTCAATTACTTTAAAGTACTTTCATTAAAAAAAAAGTTTTTGAATTAATACAGTTACTGTTATAACAGAATTGAAGACCCATTTCAGACCACAATTATTTTGGAGTTTTTGAAATTCATTTCATCATAGTGCTACCAGGATGTAAAAGAGGATACAATTACAAGTAATTGTTAAGTTTGATGCAAAATGTTTGAAAGTTCAACGGAAAATATAAAAGAAACCAGTAAAAATCGATATTTGTTGCTATTTACGCAGATTTTTACAATATGGGTGGACTCAATTATAAAATTAAGTGACTGTTAAACAATCAACTTAGTGTTGGCGGCAATTGAGTGGAGTTTGTATTAGATTGCTTGAAACTTGAAGGAGTTTTTAGTTTAACATTTGTGTTGAAATCGATTTGTATTTAAATCACTTTTTCGTTTTGCGCGGTTTTTTGTTAAACGCAATGGCATAGAAATAAAAATTAAGTATGGTTGAGCTCGACATGATGTAAGTAATCTACATAACGAGTTTGAATGAAATCGGGAAAAAAGTTGAATTTATCTATTTTTGATTGGGTTTATCGATTATTGATTTTTTTTAAATTATCGATTTTTTTACTCTAAGAATCTATCTCTTACATTGTACAATGTACGTGTCAAGTTAGGTCAAAATCGGTTTCGTGGATCTCGAGTGAAAAGGTATCACACAGACAGAGAGACACTGAAACACAGACATCCTTTTTATATATATATATATAGATAGATGATAGAAAATGTGATACGGAAATCGAAAGGTCCATCGGGATAGTCAATGGTCAGAAAGATTTCAGTATGTAATAGCGGTACTCCTATATGGCAGTTAATGCTCGGCAATGTCATAACAAAAGCTGAAGAAACGTGAGGCAACAGAAATATGATGAGAATTATAATGAGAATACTATGAACTGAACATATGAGCAAAGTTTTAGAGAAAAGGAAACAAAAAAGATACATACGTAGCATCAGAATATGGCAGTTGGAAGTTCTAGAGCACATAATGAGGAAAGAGGGCCTAGCGAAGTAGACTCTCATAAGACACATTGATGGTAAGAGCGACAGCGGAAAATCGGCCATATTCTATCTAACGAAATTTTTTAATGGTTGGCAATATAAGAATTAGACGATATAGCAAAAAGTCAAGCTTTATTAAGAGCTACAAACGACGGAGAATTGGAAAGAGACACGGTGCAAGGAAAAAGACTTATCAGTCAGCGGATTTTTTTATCTAGCTTCCCAAAAAGTAATAAATGAAACTTATACTTTTTCAATACTAATACTCTTATGGCATGCTCCTCCTACGTCACTACGCAGCAGTTTCAGAAGTTAAAAAATAAACACCTATCCACAAAGTATACGTAAAATAATGATCGGTCAATGATAGGTTCTGACTACCATGCAAATAAACATCGAAATAGATTAAATGTTATTCCTTTTCCCCAATTAGTTTCCACTGTGCCTGGTTGAACGTCCGTTGCGTACTCCCACCGAGCCCTCCGACCGGAATGTTCAAGACTGTATGATCGCTACCTTATCAACATTTATTTTTTTTTCTACCTACATTTATATACGTTACAAATTGAACCAGGCACAATCTGCTACGAAAGAATTAAAGATCTTCGGTGTATTTTGACATTGTTCTGTTTTTTTTTTTGTTTTTTTTTTTGCTTGTTTGTTTTTTTTTTATTTCATCCAAATCCATGAATTTGTTTTGCTCATGTTAATACTCGAAAGAAATCTATATTTTTCCTCCATAATGTTGAATGTGTTAAATTATTCAAATTTTTTCAAAAATAATATCGAGTTGATGTTAAAGATTGCGGCAAATCATTGTTGGTTTATTTAATGACCTGTTATGATATGTCTCGAATTTGTATTTCGATACATTGTATTTATTTTCACAATTTCTCGTTGAATTGTTCACCTATATTGCATATGAACCATTATTGTATGTAATTAGGTTACACTAAATTTTGCATTTTATATGAATAATATGAAAATTATAAATGTACTACAGTGGGGCAACATATCATAGATCAGGGTGTATCATAAATTCGCGGGATTACGAGACGGCTGCATTGGCTCTGCTTAGCCGCGTATGTCAGCCTTAAGGTTTAATCAGTGAAACCTAGTATGCATAGAGGTTAATATGGGACTACTTTTCATCAATTTTACTTTCAACCTCCTGATATTTATTTATTTCTTCTTACAATTTAGCACCTCTTTATCTGATGGTACTGCCATATGTATAAGAATATACTTTTGTTTACACTTCGTAATTAACTAACGTTTCTGTATTGAGGTTTGTATGGCTGTCAGTTTGAACAATAAATCCTAAAGAAGAGTGACTTCATGGCAAACAATGATTGGTTCAGGATGATTTTCATATTACATTTAAGATTTTTGAGCACTATAATAGTGAGTGACATATATTTTATATTATTATAAATATAAGCATTATTATTATTATTATTATTATTATTATTATTGATATTATTATTTCCTTTGATTTCTGTTGTATTCACATTTCCTTCCGGGTTTCAACCAAAGATTTAAGATCAGAAATGGCTTCATGCCATCTTCCACTGATCATTTTTGTAAAACAAAACAAAACACAGAAAAATAAAACAACAAAAAACTAAGATCATATCTATTTTACATAGATAAAACTGTGTGTGAGCTGTACTTGTTAGTACACTTTTTTAAGATTTTGTTAAGGCATGAGCTACCAGTAATCTCTTCAATGAGTCTACCGGAATCATTTCCAATCAATCCGAGGATTCCAACTACAACAGGAATTCCTGATAACCTCATGTGCGATATTTTTGAAATTTCAGTTTCAAGATATTTGTATTTTGATAGTTGTTTGAACATATTCAAAGATACATTGCAATCTGCAGGGATTGCCATATCAATAAGAAAGTATATTTTCTTCTTGTGGTCTTTGATCACGAAGTCTAGGCGATTGTTCTGATTGTGTGTATTCTATATTCTTTTTGTGCGGGTCCACAACAAGACACTTATTGTGTGAAATGGCATCATTATGTTTTGTTTTGCACATTTCTGTAAAAAAAGAAAAAAGAAAAAGTAAATACATAAATATTTTACATAAATAGAGGCCTTTCTTATGGTGTGAGCTTTATTTGTGAGGACATTTTTTATTTCTTTAGACAATAGTTTCATGAATCTATCTATCTATTTCTTCAGTGCGTCAATCAATCAAACATAAGGCTTGGGGCTAACTAAATTTTCTGATGTCGACATGTGACACATATTTAAAAATTCCTCTTCAATTTTTTATCATTTTAATCATTTTTTAAAGGTCTTCAACACTTAATGTTGTTGTTGATCTTATTATTACTGTTGTTATTATTATTGCTCCGTTATCCAGTAAATTAGGTTACACATAATGTTCCCACTGCCATTACCTCAGATACATAATGGACCATTCGTTTTTTATTGAAAAGGAATTCAGGAAATGTTATAGAAGTGACGATGTTTGCCTTTCGGGAGAAAAACAACGCATACATAATAATATGAATGAAAGAAAGAAAGATAGAAAGAAAGAAGGAAAGAAAGAAAGAAGGAAAGAAGGAAAGAAAGAAAGAAGGAAAGAAAGAAATAAAGAAGGAAAGAAGGAAATAAAGAAAGAAAGAAAGAAGGAAATAAGGAAATACATAAAGAAAGAAAGAAAGAAAGAAGGAAAGAAAGAAGGAAAGAAAGAAAGAAAGAAGGAAAGAAGGAAAGAAGGAAAGAAAGAAAGAAGGAAAGAAAGAAGAAAGAAGGAAATAAATAAAGAAAGAAAGAAAGAAAAAAAGAAAGAAAGAAGGAAAGAATGAAAGAAATGCGATAAAATGAGGCGATAATGTTTTCATGCGTTTAACATCTGCGTCATTTAAATGGCAGGCTGTGACAAATTTTAATATTTTCAATTGTACCCTTTAAGTAATGTCCTGCCTTAATACTTATGATTGTTACAGCAATATTTAATTAAAGTTGATACGCCAAATATTTAACAATGTAACATGGAATCTTTCACGGGTAATTTATAGTCCTGAAACCACCAAGGAGTTTATTTAATTATTAACTTAAGAATTAAGTTTCATCAGAAAATTCTATTAGGAAAGTCATTAAATCCTCCCAGGTACTGATACTTATTCTTTCTCTTGCAAATTGCAAACTTCATAGGACATCTCTAGGGACCAAGAAGTAAATGATATAGAACTTTTTCATAATGAAAGGTGTGTGGTTTCTCAGATGGGGCGTAGATACTTACATATTATTGTTTTTAAAATCGGCATTATAACGCTAATATGTGTCTTCCTGTACTAAATAGACTTTTTAGACATAGATTTTAGACATTAAATTCCAGGACAGAATATGTTTTCAAATTTTAAAATGGTATGCTAATAAGGAATTGCTTCAGATCTGTCAATCAGAAAGTCTCTAAGGAGGTTTGGAGAAGAGAAGTGTCCAGATGGTAAAACTTAATTGCTAACTGGGACTTTTTCTAGCCATTGTCTTGTTGTTTGAGTCAAGCAGCAATTTACAAAAATACGTTTTACGTGATTTAATTACAATAAACAGACGGCCAAAAATGAAAGCCAATTGGATAAAAGTCAGTGATAATAAAAGATGGCAAAATAAACAAATAGTTGTCGAAAATGTCTGACGCATTCACAAAGAATAAGAAAAGAAAAAACAGAGTAACTGATTTTTTTCTTTTTTGACAGGGCAAATAGAACAAATAAAAAATTGACGAAAAGTCAAGGAAGAAAAGCTACGTGAGATTTAGTAGCAACTCTGCTGATTATATCTAATTGGCTGGCTTTACTTTTTGTCAATTCAACGAATAAATAAACATTTAACTTCGGATTGCAACTGTTTGGATTTCTGTTGACGTTTCTATTAATAATCTAGGCGACATATGTAAGGAATTAAAGGCGGGATATAGAAATAGCAAGAATACTATAAACAAAATCATAAAAATAGAAATTAAATTGGAACTGATTAAAGTAAATACATCCCTCACTTAAAATACTCGTATCTCTAAGCCATTTTTTCTCCGAGTTTATTTTTTTAATTTTATTATTTTAATGCGCGTCAAAAAGTATTTCTGCATGCATTTGCCAGTTAAATTCCTGTGTCAGATGGCCACAATGAGAGAATCAAACTGAAGATCGAACTTATTTCTATATATTGTTCAGCCAATAAAAGTCTCAAGAGCCACACAAAGCAGAGTATTACTAAATGAGCGCATAAAAAAGTGTGAGCAAGTGGTGCATATTATGGGGGTATGTAGGAGAGATAACTATTGGTATAAAACCTGAAGGGGGCATACGTTAATCATCTTGGAAACGCACGCTCAGGGGTCAGACCCAGAACAGGAGAAGCAAATGTAAAACTTCATCCTTGCCAAATGGAATATAAAGAGAATGAGGATGAGTTGACGCAGTGCCTAGTTTGTTCTAGCTGGGAAGGTCTGAACTGAACAAACCTAGGAATGTCGTTTGCTTGTACATAATACCCGCATATGTTACCTGTTGCATTTCTATGGGTTATCTTAAAAGAATTTTGTTTATATGTATTATTATTTTTTTCCTTTGATTTCTGGCCTTTACACATTTCTTTCCGGGTCCCGTCTAGGGACCTAAGGTTAGAAATGGCATCATGATACTTTCCACTGAAAAAAAAAAAAAAAAAAAAAAAAAATTACATAGATAAAGCCCTTCGTAAAGTGGGGCTGTAATTGTCAGAGCAATTTTTTGTATCTCTTTGAGGCATGGACTTCCAGGAATCCCTTCAGTTAGTCTACTGGAATGCTTTCCAACTAATCCAAGGGCTCCATCTACAACAGGGATTGTTGATGTTCCCATGTGCCACATTTTTGAGATTTCGATTTGAAGGTCCTTGTATTTTGATCGAAGTTTGAATATCTTCAATAATACATTGCAGTCTGCAGGGACTGCCATATGAATAAAGACACACTTTTTTGTTTGTGTTCTTTAATAAAAATGTCTGGGGGTTAGCTTTGATCAGTGTGTATTGTGTAGTCCCATAGAATTGTAACAGGTCCTATCTCCGTAACCGGGTCTGGGTGGTGTTCATACCATTTTCTTTCAGTTTCCTCAGAAGTTTCAGATTTTCCAGTGCAGATATTAGCCCACTCTGTCATGCCGGATTTTATATTCAGTGGTTGCCAATATCGTGCAACCTGATACAATCACTATTATAGTAGGTCCATTAAATTTTCACGGCTCACCTATTTGAATTTTCCGATAAAATAACATTTCTTAAGTTAATGGTTGAATAAATTCTTTTCAAGACCCACGATTACAAGTTACCCGTGGAAATTTAATTTAAAATATTAAGTATTTCGAGTTTAACAAAATATTGCAACAACAATCCTAAGCATGAATATATGTCATTATATGAAGAATTAAGATGGCACAATTGAACAGATTCAAAACTGACTGCGTTTTCTTTTTCTCTGAAGTAGACGTTATTTCGCCCTCTATTTTACCTTTCTTTCTTTGTTTCTTTCTTCGTTTCTTCCTTCTTTCTTTGTTTCTTTCTTTATTTCCTTTAAAACAAGGAGTGTCCCTGATATAAATGTTTCTTCTGCCTTGCATCGCATTCAAAACGGAATGGTCTATTATTTATCTGAGTTAATGGTAAGAAGAAACACGCGAACTAAAATACTAAATAACGGAGGGACAAACAGATTTATAGTAGTGTTATTATTTTTTAGTAATATTAGAAACATGCACTCAACATAACTAAACTGATTAAACCTGAGGACAATTAACAGAAGTCTCTAGCACTATTCTTAGCATTGTGACTTCTTTCAGTGATGCTCAACTCCGAATAATCTCAACTCTTCTTCTGAATTCATTTTCCCACGTTTCTTTGTGACTCTTCCCAATGTTCCGAAAACGATCGGCACGACAATCATAATCCACAACTTTATGAGTATTCTGTCAAGTTTGTAATATTTACGTTCACAATATGTTTTCTTCATTGTTACAGTTAATATTATTATCTTTATTTTATTTCCTTTGATTTATGATGTGTACACATTTCTTTCCGCGTCCCGCCCAGGTTAGAAATGGCATCGTGACATTTTCCACTGGAAAAAAAAATATACATACACAAAGCCCTTCGTAAGGTTTGAGCTGCACTCGTGAGAAAAAATTGTTTGTATTTCTTTAAGGCATGGGCTTCCAGGGATCTCTTCAATTAGTTTACCGGAATCTTTTCAGACCAATCCGAGGGCTCCAAATACAACGGGGATTGTTGATGTTCCCATGTGCCACAATTTTGAGATTTCAGTTTCAAGGTTCTTGTATTTTGATAGAATTTTGAAGATCTTCAAAGATACATTGCTGTCTGCAGGTACTGCTATATCAATAAGGAGGCACCTTTTTGTGCGCGATCTCTAATATTATTATTATTATTATTGTTATTATTATTATTATTATTATTTGGTAGAGTAAGGCAGCGATACAACGCTGGGTTAACAATATGCAAAATCCAATCTCGTCATAGCACTCAGTTTTAAATAGCTATACTGGGAGCAGACTATGCAGCCAAAATGCACGAGAGATAAAATATGATGTTCCAGACTTGATACGTGGTATGGCGCTGATGATTCCTTCAATTCATGAATGTATCGCCAGAAAATTTCCCCATAGTAAGCTGCCATTTCTTTCTAAGTTAGAATGTATAGGACTAAGTTCGTCTTTCTATTCAATCCAAAGCTTAGAAGACATGGATTCATACTTTTCTTGTGGGTTTTTGCTCAGAAGTGAATGTAATGAACCGAACTGCAATATGTACTCATTTCACTCAGATTACATTCCATTACACCCCACCGCGCATTTATATATAGTGATGGGTTTTTGTTAAATACAGCCGATAGATGGTTTCTTGTGAAAAATAGCTTCAGATCGAGCAACCCACTCAATTCAGACAGTTAACTATTGCAGGTGTCTCACAAGTCGCCTTGGTTACATCGTCGTTCAAAGTTAACAGAAAAAAACACATGAAAAACAAAAAAACAAACAAACCCGACACCAGGTCATAATGTCCCCACCACTGTTCCAGGTCATGAACAGAAATACACAGTTTTAAAACTTCGATGAGACAACCCAACGAGTTAAGATCTGGCAACTGCCTAACAAGTCTGGGTTATTTACTGTAGAACATATACATTCAGACAATAACAAAGCAAACACATGTAACGAGATAAGAAGCCATGTCTTGAGTAATATCAGGACCTTTTTATTACTATTATTGTTATATAGTTTGCATCATTATCTTACCTTTACAAACATAGTGAACCGCTTACTGTGAATAAGTGCAAAAAATATATGCGCTGTTTGAAGTGAATTAAACCGCATTTTCGTGGCAAGACTTCCGTTAGTTATTCACTAAAATTATTATTATTAATAGTAGTACTAGTACTAGTAGTAGTAGCAGTATTATTATTATTATTATTATTAGTAGTAGTAGTAGTAGTAGTAGTAGTAGTAGTGATAGTAGTAGTTTTAGCGGTAATGTATGAGAATTTAAACTAACATGCTCATATTAATTGTTATTCTCGCATAGTTTCGAATTTGAAAACTCCTTCCTTCTAGAGAGGTCAGAGGTCGTACTCGATAATCTCCCGGATTTTTTTAAAACCATATCTTATCTAATCCGCGGGTGTAGATTATTATCATTCCGTTTTCAATGATGATGGAATATTTCACACCAGTTAAATGCCTGCAGACTTGTAAATTTCTTCTACGAAACCATGAATCTTCAGTATTACTTGACACAGGTGTTTAATTTGCAACTGACAAAGAAGTAGATATATTTTAACTAAACTCAA